TTTATGATTTTGATAGCTGTAAAATTTCTATTATTCTAAAGTATAATGAATTTTAGCTTCTAGTTTAGCACTTATCTACACAAATAATTACATATGATACTAAATTTCGTAATTTCATGTTTGTTACTTTATTAACGTTCTTCAGAAATTATTTCAGATACATTAATTAAAAAGAAAATTATTAGAGTTCTTTAAGTGCAAGAACAGTTTTATGTTATTAGCTATTGTTATGTTTAAGACATAAACATAAACGTATTGAAATAAAATATATCACTACAATATCTGAAGTAGGAATTGTTAAATCACAAAAAGATAGAAATATGAATCATACATGCATATAGATATACATTAAATATTTATTTCTTTAATTTTACACACAATTATTTATGTCGTACATTTGCAAACAGGTTACATTATTTCATACAACAATGTATAAGGATTCATTTCACAAACACGTGTCGCTTTCACACAACTTAACGCAACAGCTACTTTGATTAAAAAAACATACAAAAAACTTCTTATAAGCAAGCTATTCTAGGGAATAAACAACTCAAGAATATATTAGCGAAGGCTAACGATATCAAATAAAACGCTGATCGATGCGGTCTCCATCTTTGGATCGTTTCCGGCCAGTGTTACTTGACGCGTTCTTCGCGGTACCATTTATCATCGACGCCCGTCACCGAGTCCATCGATTGCAGCCGATATCACTGGGTGTGTAGTTAGTGACAGATAATAATGCAATCACGGGCCTTGTTGCGGTGCCCATTTTCAGACGTGTGAGCCGTCGAATTTCCCCGATAACCGATTTTCGAGAGAGCCCGCGATCGCGCTCCTATCTCTCTATATAGTCGATTGACCTTATCACGCTTGCCAGATTAGCGTCAATCGTTTGGATGAGTGTTGCTGCCAGTGTCAGCCGATGGTGAGAACGTATTCCCGTGTGTCGTCTCAAAAATGATGGTCACCGTGGTTCAGGCGAAGCTCGCGTCGATGATCATCATCGGCGTCGGCAGCTTCGTCGTTGGTGTCGCACCAGCGTGTTTCGTTTCGCGCGTACGGTATCTGCAACAGAAGCTCCTACTCTCGTGCACTCTGTGTTTTGGTGGTGGCGTTATACTCGCTACGTCCATTCTGCACATGTTGCCGGAAACCCGCGAGTCTCTGCCCAAATACGCTGAACTATTGTTTTCTTGTGGATATTTCCTACTGTATTTCGTAGATGAATGTGTCCATTACTTTTGGGGCAGAGGCGATCAGCATATACCGCAGTCACAGCATTACGACAGTTGGAATACTGCAAATCAGTTGTATGTACTTGTCGAATGACTTCTTTATAGTACAAACCAAATGTATCGGCTGGTCAAGGTAATTTCTTCCTCTGTCGCTTTTCGGTTCCACTCTTACCGTTCGATAGTTAACGTTTACGTTTCGCCTTTAAACTATGCCTACCGTGCTTTCGTAGAACATAAGACGAGGAGAGTATATTGCCAAAAAAAGAACAGATGAAAAAGGTGTATCCTCATAAGGCGAAGAGAGCATATTACCGTTAATAGTACAAAGCCAAAGATCGCGTTACAAAACAGATACGTCTGTGTATTTATGTGACGTTGACATGCTGAACAACTACACATACAGGTCTCTCTCGGCAGGGTTCGTCGGTGTGAAAAAGTGACGGAGGGGGGATGGTCATGACCGGCTAATACATTTGGCCCTTACTATAGTATATTGCAAGAATAAGGTTGTTTATGAGAGTCACTTACTGCGTAAGTGATGGTGGCGAGGAATGTCGAGCAGATTGGAGATACTTTACTGATGTGTCATGTGGAGATAAGGATGTTCGATGATCAGTGATACGTTAAGATTGAAATAGAGTCTGCTTTTAGATATAGTTTTGCGACATGATTCGTCTATTTAAAGTGTTAGATACGTCATTTATTTTGAATATATAAGAACAATCGTGCAAATAACATTAGTTGTTTCTCTAAATTAGAATAGCTAATTTGAAGAAAAGTATATGATAAAAAATTAGCATATTTTTCTATTATACACTATAATATTGTATAATATAATACGAAGTATACTTAAAGCAGTTTCTCGCTGCTGTAAAAAAATTATCACCCGATATCTAGACGTTTTCTTCAATTGATATTCTCATGCTTCCATAAACTTATTCGTATAAAATAACAAAATTATTATCTGCTAAGTAAATTTTTATTCTTAACATCGTGTGTATTTTAACTGTTGACCGTTTAGTTAACGTGAATGATTTAGTAATACTGATAATCCAACGTTTCTTTTTTAATGGCCTAATAATACATTGGAAGTGTTCAATAAACGATTGATAATAGAAGGGGAGCGGGAAACTCGATAGGTCGGTACGTTCTTGCTTGTCTTCTGATAATCGTGCTGTTCTTTTACACTTCTTATTTCATCGTCGCCGCTGTGTTGGACGTTCAGCAAAAATCTTTGTACGCGGGAAAACGAACGACAGTTAAACGTCAAAGAAACCGATTTACCGCCGAACGGGGATTAAGATAGGTTAGAATACTTTTGAACATTGAATTCACAGCTGGATCGTTTGCATGACTTGCATGACTATGAAAATAATTGAAAAATGTATGTTCTTTTGTCGCTTCATTTTGTGATTGTAACGTTAATTACTTCGATAGAGAATTAATCAGTTGCAATACAATTGAAAGGTATTAGTCACGATATTATCTTACCGATACGATCTCAAGTCTTTTGATTTCTTGTTTTCACGAGGTTGATATAAGAACTGACTGATGGAAGGATAGGTTGATTTATCTCGAGTAGTTCAGAAATTCTTGTATTTTTATTAGCTTTCTAAAATATCTATATTTAGCTCTGAAAGTAAGTTCAATTAAAAAATCGGAATATTCATGATAATCAAAATGTTTTTTGTACGAAAATTATATACAAAGAAGAATACTAAAATGAAGGAAAGAAACAAAGTTAGTATAACTCTTGTCAAATGATTTCGGAATATCGCACGTTATTGCAAAGATGTTCGAATTAACAGAGAAATACTGCCATTAATTTTCAGCATTTCAATCTCATGCACCACCGACAATATCTCGACATATTCTTATCTGTAATGCCTTTATCCTCCTCTTCTTCCTTAATTCAATTCTTTAATTAATATTATCAGATGCTATCTAATAATAAGATACAACCAGATGTCTTTAAGTAACTACATACTATGTAGTATGTATAACTGGATATTTCCTTCAACATTAATTTCTGGACGATTTTATCGTTGCTAATAGAAAAATCTAAAACGAATTTGTAAAATATAACTATTTACGTCCGGCTGACGAATGATGCGAGCTATAGTCTGTGCGAAAATTCTTACATCAAGGTCACCATTCCTCTCTCTTTTTCTATATATATATATATTACTGTCACAACTATTTTTAGATATGTATATTTAAGATAGTACTGGAAATATCCTGATTTTTAAAATTTATCAAAAAGTCTACTCAAGTGTTAACCTCACTTTTAATGTAAATTTCTGACAGGCTTCACATTCTATTTACCGCAATCTTTTTCTTTTTCTTTAATACTACAATAAAATAAATTCAACTTTCACAGTGTCTAGTATAATGAAATTAGTACACGGTTGAAAGGAACTGTACTATATTTCCCCACGTGGTACACCAAGGGATAAGATACGGCATACATATTGTAGAAAGCTAAAAATTCCAGACTTATTTCAGACAGTATGTAGCCGGATGAAATTACCGATCAGCGATCGGTTGAAATTTTATCGCATGATAGACACATCGAGGTCGATTGATGAACCGGTCAGTCGTACGTAACGTGAAAGTCAATTACGAGAGTAGATATATATCCTGGATTGCAGGGAGTGTTGCCGGCGTCACTCGCGTCAGCCGAGCTATACAGCGGCCACGCGGACCGTCAGAGGGAGCTCCGGGACCGATGTTAATACAAAATCGCCTTATCAGGCGAATCTGGCAGGAAACGGGACGAACAGCTGGAAGGGTACCGCTTATGGAGCTGTGCAATATGTACCGAGCGCGCCAGATCGTTACGACGACGAGGAGACGTTTTTATGCCACGGCAATCATTCGGAACCGTGCACGGATTCCAATGCCAGCCTCATGGGGCTCCTCTTGGCACTTACGATCCACTCTGTCCTTGAGGGGCTAGCGGTCGGTCTGCAGAAAGTCACATCTGAGGTGTGCAGTCTTTGGTACAAAGAACGTGTCTATTGTTCATTTTACCGAACAATTTTTACGATAAATAACATTCTCTGTTCGATTAATTCATATTTCTCAAACATCCCGTACATGGTTATTGAGTCGATTACAAACGTTTCACCCCTTGTTTCATCTGATTATTGAAAACACTCTTGCTACTGTTTTCTTTTCTTTTTTTTTTTTTTTAATTTGAACAGTTTTCAGATTTAACGAAATTTATTAATACATCGAATTACATTTGTTTTAGTAACACGTTCAAACTTTTCTTCACTTTTTGCTATGTCCTTTGCAAACTTTGTAAGTACTTAGTTTCTCAATATCCACCTATTAATTACAGTATATTCATTGTTACATTATATTTCAGTATTGAATGTAGATACACTGACGAAAAGTGTTTTTTTTTTTTGTTTTTGTTTTTATTATAGTTTTATTCTTACGAAAAAGAAAGTTGGTCAGACGTTGTTTATTTATTTAAATTCACAATTAATTAACAGGAGATACAATTTGTACGTAATTGCTTCATTTTTTACGTTCCTTATTTTCAGGTATTTCTATTAGTTGGAGCAGTTGCTTCTCATAAATTTGTCGTCGGCTTCTGCTTAGGATTAGAATTAGCCGGGGCTAATAGCACTCTTCTCCGACTCGTACTAGCGATCTTCGTGTTCTCCGCTGGATCCGTGGTTGGTATAGGTGCTGGAATGTTAACATACCGAGTAAGTAAAGACGTCACTTCGGTTCAGCTTATTTCTAAACATAGTTTAATCCAATTTCATCCAGATTCTACTGTTCTATCATGTACTCTATCATCCGGGTCAAAATCTTTTGTTTCGGCGTTTTCAAATTTTGTAAAGATTGAAAAATAAAAATTTTTTATTTTATCCCTTTAAAAATTAAGGTGGAAGTACGCAAAGCACAGGAATCAACGCTTAAACTAAGGTGAAGGTGTGGCAAAAGCACCAACAGCACAGTGCGAGAAAATTTGATAAGCGCCTATAGAGGCGCCAAGGGCAGAATGTGAGAAAATTTCCAAAGCGCCTATAGGCGCGAACAGCAGTGAAAGGGTTAAAATGAATAACACGATATATTTCGGAGAACATTAACAAGAAATATTTTATATTTATCCAAAGAATTATGAACAGAATTTTTTTTCTACTCCCCGTTAATTATTATACGGATTATCTTTCGTAATGCATAAAATTGAAGAATTGTACGATAAGAAAACAACCTTAATTCTCGTAATAATTTGTGTAGATGGACAAGAAGTGGACGAATGTGCTTATACCGATCTTGCAAGGTCTAGCAGGCGGAACACTGTTGTACGTGACGGTCAGCGAGATTCTACCGAGGGAGAGAGCGAGATGGCACAGAAACGCACGTCGTTTCTCTGGTATTTTCCAGCTATTCTCTTCGATTCTCGGCTTCGTCATTATTTTCTTGATACACAACTACCTGGGCACGTGAACCACCGATTTTATATCTGTAGCCATTCGATAGAACAAATCGCCCAGCAGGCGAATTTTAATAGAATGGCATAGAAATGTAAAAAACAAACAAATAAAAAAGAACAACAGAAAAAACAGCTTTATACGTGGCTTCTGGCATAAATTTACTCGAGAGGCTGTATCTTCGTTCATGTATAATGTATAAATATGAGTTAGAGATACATAGAGTAGTCGTACTAGGATAGGAAGGAGATACAAAGGGTGGGAGTGAGTGATTGAGCTAGTGCGAGAGGTTGAGGGAGGCCAGGGGAGAGATAACGTACTTTAAATATTACATAAAAATAGAACGCTATGACGAAATCGATACGACGTTTTAATACTCGTTCGTCCTTTTTTTCTCAGCACCTTCACTCTGAGGAGAGTGAAACGTGTGTTACCGTAACGATAGGCTTGAATGTTTCTGACGAACAGTTGCACAGTGTTATTTCGAATTAGGTGTTCCACTTCTTCGATAGGAGACGTGTAACATTATGAAACTGTAATAAAAGCTAGAGTTACGTGTGTTTCGAATAGCGAGAGACATTTTGTACTCTTTCCTCTTAATCCTTAACCTCTTCAGGGACGATTTTTTAAAAGTTAGAAAAAAAATGATCCAATTTTTTATGCAGTTACGTTTATATTCATGTTAAATCAATAGCAATTAAACTGCTGTCCTAGGTTGGCGGATTTGATGTTTTTCATATTTTCTCTATCACAAATATTGGAATCTTTGGAAAAACTAAACGTACAAATATGTGTTAGTGTCCCTGAAGAGGTTAATCACTTTTTCCTTAATTTGTATTAATTAGTAGACTTAAAAATTCATACTGTGAATCTGGTTAATTTTCGTAAGAATGAATTATTGAGATCAACAAAATACGAACGATAGATATTAATTATTTGCTGTATTATGTCAACATCGATAATGAATATACAATTACAGGAGAAAATTAATTCCATGAATTGTTCATCGATAACGAATGTCAAATTTATAATTGTCGATTAAAATATAACAGGTATGTTGAGTATCACCTATGCTTTAATTGTGCAATTGTTAATGTCTCGGCGACCTTTCGGAAATAAAATTGCTTCCGCTACTGTACACGGCGAGCGGCTGGATATAAGATGTTACGCTATCCTCTTTTTTTATTACAACAACTTTTAACGAGATGAAGTCTTCCGGGCCAGCTTGCCTTCGAAATCCATCCAGCGACGAGTGCTCGTCTTGACACTGGATTACGTTACCTCGAAGCAATCCCCAAGAAATGGGATCAAGATTTTCAGACGTACAACTTATCCCTCCGATTTACGCTCTTCTTTCTTTCTTTTTTCTTTTTTTTCTTAAATAAATTATTCGTCGCTAACGAACACTCGACGTTATTACCGTAGTTTTATCATGTTCTTCGGAGTTTTCTGCTCGAGTTGAAAGTGTGTAATTTGAATTACGGAAAATTTGTTGTTAGCAGCATTACGATCCGTACAATTGTTAAGCAGAGTCGAAGAAAATAGAGTCGAGTTCGTTTGAAAAACTGATAAATTCGCTTTGACGGTTCTTCTTTAACGTAACCGAGGTTCGAAACTTTTATATTCCACAAAGTTTCACAATTTAGTATAGAAAAGTTTGTAGAATTGAAATATCAGGAAAAATGTGAAATTAATCGGTGCTTTTTCTCCATTGTAACACAGGGAAAACACGATACACTTTTAGACCTTTGACAGAGCAAAAGCTAGAGAAAAAGAAATATTAATTAACATCGTTTTAAGATGTTATCACTGTAAGAGGTACAAGGTCTCTGCAAGAGTTTATAGGAACGATGATTAATTTTCCAGGGCAAATGACACATTATTTGAGGGAAGTTCGATGAAAAATGAATCACGATAGCTAAAGGATCTATCATCGCTTTGACGGCCGTTCTTATGGGCAACGGTAATCGAAGCGCGAGGAAAATTTTTCAATTTCTTCTCGTTATTTTCTACAAAGACCCTTACTACAAAGCTGCACGTTCAGATGAGAACATTTAATTAAAATATCGCACGTGAAAGCTAAACAACGGTCAGTTTTAGATTAAAGTATCGAAAAGGAATCTACTTTATCACGTTTAATTCGACTATTATTTCTTATTGTTGGTACTCCACTATTACCATAATCATAGCAATTAATTGTATTTACAATTTATAGTAAATAATTACTATAATTATAATATACAATACATCTAGCGAGTTTGTAGAGAATTCTGTCAAGTTACTAATAAAAAGTTTGCCTTGTATAATTATAGTAAATAATTACTACGATTCCTGTCATTACGGTACGTAATATTCGACGAATTTATAATGAATTCTGCAAAATGATTCATCAAAAATTGGTCTTGATTCACCGTTCTCTTACTTTGCTGCATATGAAATGGCTGATTTCAGAATTTCGCTCTTAATGTACTACCAAATTAGTTCATTATTTTACTATTAAACGGCACACTATATAGGAAAATTAACCATGGATCAAGATCAAATTCCACTGATCACTTTTTAGCTGGACCAAAATTTATTCTGTTCAAAAATAAATTGTTAAATTTTCTTTCTTTAAAAAAAGGCATAAATAATCTCGTACGATCTAAGAAGATCGTACTTCGATCGATAAGTACGATATTTTTACCAAAACCACACGGGTTGAAAGTGTTTTTATCAACGCTTATATGTCATTTTATCTGCAACAACGTAATATTTCTCGCAATCTACACCACCGGCCAAAAGTTTGGAATCACCTCCCAATTTTCATCAGCACCGAATCTGCAACTAATTTTTCATAGACTTGATATTGATATTGTGGAGATAAATAGCAATATATCTCGTATCGATTGATTTGAATGACACAAAATTCGTTAAAAAATTCTTAAAGCTGCTCGACTTTTTTCTGCGGATTTTTGTGTAACTTGCAATGCACAGTGATTACAAACTTTTGGCCGGTAGTGTATGTACATTAATTTCCGTGAATTTTTACTTTATTTCGCTACTTTGCGAGCATATAAATTTTCTTATCGGAACTTTTTGATACGACCACAGGTTATTTATAGTTAGTCTAGGTAACTTCAATGAAACTTTCCGTCGCGTGTTCTATTCTGTTTTATTGATAAACGATATTTCATAAGTTCGGGTGCATCGTTTTCCCTGCGCTGTCTACAAGTGGGTATTAAAAACGCGAAAACGAAACGAGGCGAGGGTTGAAAAAGTCCGAATAAGGTGAACCAATCACTTCCGGGAAAATGAATAATTCGTAATTTATCTTCGTTGTACGAGAGTCGTCGATAATATTCTCGCTAGAAAATCATTCGTTGCACACAAAATATTCCCCGATTTCTGTTTAATATACCCCGTCAAAAGACGCGTTTCGAGAGTTTCATTTGCGTTTCATAGTTTCTCGAAATATTTAGCGATTTTCGCGAGAACAACTGTTTGCGTTGCAATTTTTTAAATCGCTGGTCTCGTTGGAAAAATGCTTAAATCTCGATGTGGTGTCGTATCGGTCCACGAATACGGGACTTGGATCACGACGAATGGAACGTCTTGTACTGAGAAACTAGCGAGAATCCGGAGTACAAGTTTTATTTAATTTATCGGCAAGGTACAAGTCTCGGCTTGTGATTCTACAACAGACTCGGCTGATCGTGTTTTGAGTGTATCGTTTGGTGTTCGGAGGAAGATTGCTTGAAAAATCGGAGGAGTACAGGAAATGAGAATTCTGGGGGTGGAATATTTGTAGTATGGGTATTGAATGGTGGTGTTGAGTCAGCGCCCAACGAAAAACTTTTCTATCATTTATTCAGAGAGATTAATTATTCTTATGCTACACTCCAGATCCACACCGCTTCGCATGTCTCTCACCGCTCTCCCCTTCCTTCCTGTTTTTTCCGCCACGACCGTTTCCAAATCCTTGTTGATCGTTCCTCAAATGTCCAACTCCGTTTGTCCACGCACACACACACACATACACACGCTTTGACCACTGACCTAGTGACGTCTTGGCAAACCGAGCGATCAGCCCATGAAACCATCGCGCTAGCTTCGCGGATCACACACGCAGCCAATGCGGCCCTCTCTTTTTCTCCTTCGCCCTCGCCCTCACTTCCACTCCCACATATTGGAACGATAGAAGTTCGATGATTGGTCTTAGGATATTTGCAAGGGGATAGGGAAAGGGTAAAAGTGGGGATGGAAGGTCGAGGTGGCTAGAGTTTTGGAAAATCCCAGAAGGAGAGGAAATCGAACATCGGAGAAGGAAGAGACTAGGTTGCTAATTAGAGGATAGGCATAATGGGTGGTAAAAAATGTGTTACGCTGCCGTTCGGTACAAGTTTTACGGGGGGTGCGCTCGGTCCCGTTAATCCTCGGTCAGGACCGTTTTATGAATTTTTGGGAACCGTTGTTCCGTACGGAACACTCGATCTGTTTTTCAGTTTATTGCCGTTTCTTCGGTAGAGTTAACGAGACGTATAATGACGAGAGTGATGTATGAACATACTCCATATTTATTGTATCAAAATTTGGAAAAATTGCAGCTGCTCACTTACACGATTCTTTTCTCTTGTTTCTCGTTTCATCGTGTATGCAAATTTAACCGAGTAACGTCGTTTTATCGAACGCATCCTGATGCATAGCGATACAGTGAAATGGAACAGGCTTGAAAATTTATTATACAAATCGTTCCAATCGATTTTACGAATATCAATATTCGTCGCGATTCTTTTAAAAAGCGAAAATTCTTCGAGAAGTGAGAACGTCTAATTAACTAGTTCATTAGGACACGTTGAAAAATAGGGCGAAATTATTTTTATCACGTTCGTGAAATGTTAAGAAGCTAAAGTACACAGCTGATTCATCGTCAGCTCTTCCGGGACTTTAGCCGGGAGGAAAGCTTTCTTTGTCTAGATTTAACAACGACGATAATCCCGACGAAGAGCTCTCACGCCTCGTTCGGTCACGAAAATTTCGAATTTCCGCTCGTCTTCCCTCGCGTCTCCGTGAATTCTTCGAACAATCGAGATATGCAGAAAGTCAACGAGTGTGTATCTCTTCCTCCTGGACAAAGTCGCGCGCCAGCTTAGGTCATTCTCACCACCCTTTTGCCTCTCTTTTCTCCTTTCGACTGACAGCAGTCTGAAACAAGGCTTATAATTATTCACCGGCGTATATTCTGGCAGGAAGTTTCCCCCTTCAGTCGTGCAATTTATCCAAGTGGAGGCGGGCTGTCCTTTCACGGGCGCGTTTCTTTCACGAA